CGAATTTTTAGAAAATTAAATAAAACTCAATTTACCTAGTTGAGACTGTTTGTGGAAAAATATGATCTAGAATTGGAATTCAATACTTTTTACTGCCACAATCATTTTGGTTATTATTTGCGTTACAAATAATTAATTTTTCGAGTCTTCAATTTGATCAATTTCATTTGTTACTGCCATAAACTGTGTGCTGTGTATATAACGAAATTGAGATGGTAATGATATAATCTGAAAATAGTAACATCTTTTTATTTTTTACTTTGACGCAACAAAAATACTGCAAAAAAACGTTGTTATTGTAAGAAATTAAAGAACTACCGCAAAAATCGTTAAGTATTTACAGTAAACGTCACTCAATTATTCTTGCAAAAACTTCAAGATTATTTTACTATTTGCAGTTCATTCATAAAACTGTAAAACTTAATTTTTAATCAAAATATGTTCTTTGAAAATAACTATGATACTGACAACAGTAGTTTGAAAGACAAGAATGAAAAAATTTTAGCAAATTCAATGCATGGTTTCATGCATCATATACAAAAAAATACTATATAGCCTACCATCCAACATGGTGTTTCACTATTTGAATCAATTACTGTAGCAGTGATAAGATTTGCATGAATTGCATTTGCGAAATAAAAATTCGAAGGTATTTTATGCTCATTACACATATCCAACATTGTCATCATTGATACGGTATGACTGTTCACGCTTAATTTGGTTACCTATAACAAATTATCAAATTAGTTAAAACTAAAATATAATATGTATTGGTGACAATTTTAGACAACATAACTTTTTTATAGTAACTAAATACAAACTTTTTACGTGAAAATAACTGTATGCTTTACATTTTCAATTACCATAAATGATACTTTTAGTGAAAATGTATTGATAGCAAGTCATAAAATTTTATTTACAAGTAGAGATTGAGAGCGCAGCAAAATTTCGATCAAAATTTTATTCGAAATACTCAAAATTATTTTGCTTTCCATTAATTAAACATGATCATATGAGCAATTAAACCGATACTTCATATTTAAGAATTAGTGGAGCAATTTAAAAAGCAAAAATTTATATATTAATATGAATAGACAAAATTTCAATAACATAATTTCTCAACGACTGAACATCATATTTTCATAAGTAAGAATTACCGTAATTTGTTTATGGCGAAAATGCACAGAAATAGTAGAAAAAATTCAGAAAAGACTAAAATATTGAAATGCAAAATATATATAAAACCTTACGATATTTGTTTTTTATCAATTGTAGCAAGATACAATATTCTCCAAATGCCTCCCGATAATGTATTCCATCACCGCAGTTTTTAGTAACAGTCATATCAATGAATACTCGTCCATCGGTACTATTTATGACCGCTATTCCATGACCTCTGAATTCCATCAATCATTGAATTATTTAATTCAAGTTAGTCATATTATTAACTGATACCACAATAATAATTCTGTTTATTTGGCAATATTTTGTTTATTCGTTATGACAATTTTTAGTACTATCATTGACATAATAATAATAATTATTACTATTATTATTAGCGCAATAATAATAACAAAGTCTCGAATGATGTCGAGACTTGCAAAAGTGCTTTGTTATTATTTATTTTGTGTTGAAGAAATTGGGCATTAATTTAAGAAGTGAATTTAAAAACTTTACAATCAATATTGGGCAAGTATTTTTCCTTTTATTTAGTTCTTTTTTTCAGATCAAAACAATATATTATCCCCTTCTAGCGATCAGTAAAAACAATTTTCAATCAGTTATTACCGATTCTCTGTAATAGTTGAGTTTGCGTTAACAATCGGTCCATCGGATTGTTTAATATAAATTCCATCACCAGCATTATTCTTGATTCGAAGGCCGTTAATAATAGGTCAACGAGGAATAGCAGCAATTCAATCCAAATTGTTGCTGATGTATTCCTCGTTGACCTTCAGTAAATACTTTTAGTAAAATGACAATAATACATTTATGCTAATTACCATACTGACCTTTTCTTGATTCAAAATATTACTGAGATCGTTTAGCCTTTAACTCTTTTGCACAAATTGTCCATCAAATATTTGTTCACAAACAAACTGCAAATATAGCTTTTACTTTAAATTGTTGAAGAAAATTATAACCTTAAAAAAAACAATAATCATCGAACCCGTCGTATCCTCATACAATATAATTTACATGCTCCGAGAATCGAACAGTAAGCTGCAATAAGGATACTATATCAAAATTCGAATCTGCATATCGTACAAATGATAATATAATTCGTAAGCCTATGATTACAAATTATATTTTGCTATAATGATAATTCGTTTTTGAAAAAGTTTTTATAATAAATATTTCTTTTAATATAAATCTTTTCACCAACACTATTTTCAATCCGAATGATGAATTTTGAAAATTTCACTAACGATAAAAACAATAAAAATAGAAAAATAATAAAAATAAATAAAAGTAATATTTTGCATTAACAGAATAAAGCTTTAATGAAATGACCAATTTATAAAGAAACAAACAAAAAACAAAATTATAATGCATAATAAGACCGTAAAAGGTAAAACACTATATCCCAGTAATCAAGAAACTATATTTTCATTATTTTAATTAATCAATTGAATTAAATGTTCGTTGTTCAAATGGCTTGGGATGAAGAATGAACATTAATTACAAATTGACCGACCGCAGCTGCAAAAAAAGTGACAAGCGTTGCGTGCGCGTCTGTGCATCTCC